TAAGAAAACCACGGCAACGCTACAAACTGCCGAGTTGTCATGGTCAAGCAACCCCCTGACTGGCACAACAAGAATAATAATGAAATTCCTACAGCACCGTAACATGGCAATCCATTGCATGAGAGAGGCCTTAAACCAGCAGTGGATTAACTCAGGGCTGAATTTAAATGTTATATTTTCAGTAGAGTAATACCCGAGTTTATGTCGGGGATATGATCCTGAAACGTGCGACGACGAATATCGAAACGATGTCAACGTGGCTACATTTGCCAGTACAAAAATACACTAATAGGGTTTTTCCCCTTTTTTCTGGCAACAAAACGACACCTTTTGCAAGGAATCATGCTTACATTAACCACAATACCTGCAGTCAAATGCAAACAAAAAACAATACTCTCTTTGCATTTGACTGCAGGTATTGTGGTTAATGTAAGCATGATTCCTTGCAAAAGGTGTCAGTTTTGTTGCCAGAAAAAAGGGGAAAAACCCTATTAGACGTCAAAGTGATTCACAGGGTAGTAGGTGGAGGAGGCGACGGATCCGAGAGAGGACGGACGACGCTGTCAGTGACGTAAGTGTGGGTTGAGGTGACGCAAATCAGTTAGCGGTGTTAATAAAGTGACGGCGTAAATCGGGATAGTTCTGTACATACATTCATAAACGTGGGTTTATAAAATCATAACTCTTCTTTCTTTTTTATCATAACCAAGGACGTTGGCAGGTTTTGATAAATGCGCGTGAGGCACAATGCAGAGCTGCTGGCCGCTTAGATCAAAAGACATGGGAGGTTCAATTCATATGTCGTCTGCACGCCCACTAACCCTGGGGAACAAACTGCAAAAAATGCCCCTTTCTCCACGTTGGAGGCCACGTGAACTGCATTTCAAATAAGCAATCGATAGAGCCACTTACAAGCAGGTAACCCAAATTAGACAATATCGCTTTCCAAAAGGGAATCTTGGCGTCAAAGCAGGATAACAGTAATTGTGATCACAGTCACAATGTATTTACTTTAACATGGACGGTGAAAAGCATTTAAAAAATCATGCAAGTGAATTGCTCCCACCAAAATTTTACTCGTGACAAAAAGGAAGAATAAAAACGATCTTGTCGTTTGAATAACAGCAAAAACCCAACGCATTCGTCAATGACACTGCCTTAAAAAAATGTCTATACAAAAGATCACGTTTCAGGCAGTGGCCCTCCTTCACAAGTTGTATTATCCTATGAACAGATCGTTCCACGCCAGTATGGGCCGGCGCAAAAAACAACACGAAAATAATCTCTAAAATAGAAGATGCTTTTTTCCCCCCCTAAAGGCGCGCTCCATGTATTTATATATATATTTTTTACTTCTTCTTGGTTCTTTCGGTAAAGTCACGTAGAAGGGAAGTAATAAAATAATAATAAAACATAATAAAATAATTCTCACGACGTTTCGGCCACAACGCAAGCAGCCGTCCTCACCTTGCGTTGTGGCCGAAACGTCGTGAGAATTATTTTATTATGTTTTATTTTTATAATTGTATTACTTCCCTTCTACGTGACTTTACCGAAAGAACCAAGAAGATGAATCCCTGCAGTCACGAAAGCTTTAAATCGAATTTTTTTAACTTCTTAAACCGAGCGGCATTCGGACTGAAACACTCGCATCACGCGTTCGAGCAAAGGGCCACGAGTGAAGCTGGAACTTCTGCATTCAGGGCCCGTGCGAGTTAGAGAACAAGTGGCTTTGCTCTACCCAACAGATATGTCACCTTCTTGGTTCTTTCGGTAAAGTCACGTAGAAGGGAAATAATAAAATATTAAAAATGAAGCTAATAAAAAAATTAATGTTTTATTTTTATTATTTTATTATTTCCCTTCTACGTGACTTTACCGAAAGAACCAAGAAGATGAATCCCTGCAGTCACGAAAGCTTTAAATCGAGATATGTCACCGCGAAATGAATGAGAGCTTCAATCTTGACTTAAAGTTTTCGTGACTGCAGGAATTCATATTCTTTGGGTTTTTCGGTAAAGTCACGTAGATAGAAAAAAAACTATTTAGACAAGACTCTCTTGAAATCACACTTAACATTGACAGAAAAACATGTCTACATCTGATTGGGAACATGTAGACAACATGACAGCCTCTTCAGCCGCCTCAATGTCAGCTAAATGAAAAGATAACTTGATTTTCAAGTTCAATCTCCTTTCCTAGAAGAAGCCAGATCCACACGTTAAAAAGTTAAACGTTGACAAGATTGTTATTAATCAGAGTAACAGTTCAATTTCCGACAGCCTAAAATCGGTTCTAGCTAAAGGGTTGAATTTCACAGTCACCCCTAAACACATCCTAGTTGATCATATCATTGTCCAGGTCGACGTAGCCCTTAAGGGTCTGGGACACATTCCTGCAGACGTAGCAAGATCGGAAATCGCTGCAATCCTCAAAAACGCTAAGACACCTATTAGCAACATCAGTAATGATGAGTGCTTTGAGCTTTTTCAATTAAAAAAGAGAGATGACATAGTCATCCTCTCAGCCGAAAAGTGCAATGCCACCAACCGCCTCGTTACGAAAACCAACAATATCATCACCGATTCGACATCTTTAATCGAACCAACCAAGCGGTGTTCCTTAAAACCCTCAACTGCTAGACCACCCAGATTGTATGGCTTACCAAAAATCCATAAAGAGGGTACACCCCTTAGTCCTATCGTCTCCACCATTGACTCACCCACCTACAAACTGGCCCGATTTCTGTCTGAGACCTGACAACCATTCACTTGTAAGACCACCTCAGCTTTACTCAACTCAGCTCACTTGGCATCGTTAATTAAGGACATCTCACTATCTCCAGGTGATTTGTTCGTTAATTTCTATGTGGTCTCTTTTTTTTTTAAGTTCCTGTGCCTGACACCATTGCAATCATTGAAGATTTGGTCCAAGAAGGACTGAATGCTGATGTACCAGCCCTGGTGAGACACTGCCTCACCAACACTTACTTCACCTGGAATGGAACATTCTACAAACAAGTTGAAGGTACCACAATGGGTTCTCCCTTATCTCCAGTTGTAGCCAATGTTTTCATAGAAAATTTGAGACAGATGCCATCCAGGCATCCACTCTACGTCCATCCTTGTGGAAGAGGTACGTAGATGACACGTTCGTCATCTGGCCACATGGCCTACCAGCTCTAAACCAATTCCTCAACCACAACAATTCCATACACCCAGCCATCAAATTCACCATGGAGGTGGAAAAGGATGGCAAGTTACCATTCTTGGATGTTTTAATCGAAAAGAGACCAGATGGCTCAATGGGACACTCTGTCTACAGGAAAGCCACCCACACGGATGCCTACCTAAAACCTGACTCCCACCACCATCCATCCCAGAAGAATTCCCTCATCAAAACTCTACACCACAGAGCTCAATGTATTTCCGACCATCACCACCTAGCCAGTGAGCCCTCAAGATGAATGGATATTCAGACAACACAATCCGTGAAGCTATCACCCCAACCGTTGGGAAGGAACCATCTGAGAACCCAATCAAAACCATCACCTTGCCATACATAGCAGGGGTCACCAAAATTATTTACAAAATCATGAGCAAGATCCAGGTTCGATTTAACACAGTACATAAAATCCGTAATTTGATCCCACCTGGGAAGGATGTAATTCCTGACATGCAATTCCCTGGCGTCTACAAACTAAGCTGTGTCTGCAGCAGTAGTTACATTGGGGAAACTAAGCGACATGTCTCGGACCGTATTCGTGAACATAAGGCAGATCTGAAACACGGTAGGACCAATACCTCAGCCGTGGCTGATCATTGTTTTAACGCTGTGGGCACACACGAAATGTATTTGTCCAAGACGAAGGTACTCTGCAAACCCACTGGCTATCAACAAATATTCGTTCATGAAGCCATCCAGATATATAGACACAGACACACTTTCAACCGAGAAGATGGGTATAAACTGAGCAATCATTGGTAGGACGTTATTAATCATTGCAAACCTTTAAAACAGCAGCTTTCCCCCTCTTTTATCTCCTGATGACGATTGCTTGTGTTGCGATCGAAACGTCGTGATATTTTTATTATTTTTTTATTCACTTTATTTTCATTTATAAATACATTTTTTATTTTATTGTTATTATTTTTTCTATCTACGTGACTTGACCGAAAGACCCAAAGAATATGAATGAGAGCTTCCCATGAAGCACTCCCCTAAATGGTTTTTGCATAAAGGACACCACAGGCTAGCTCCACAAACAAACGTACGGCAACTCGGGGTGCATTTTAAGAATAAAATGAGAATGGAAATTGCTTCGAGACCCCTTGTCAAAAACAAGACAAATTTACATCACACCGTGGCACCTACCATATCAATCAGCTGAGACAATCTATTGCTGCAGACATATATTTGGCTTGTACGGCTCGGTTTTGCAAAACAAAATTTAATTACAGTTTAAGGGCGCACATTTACAGACCACGAGCTGCAATGAATGACAGAAGTCAGTTGGTGGACATGAAACGTGACTTCTAACGCAGCTGTCAGGAGCAGTAGCAGCAGTGATGAGCAGCGCTGACATTACCACTCACGCATCAATTTGCACCGTTTGCGCAGCCAACCTGAAATTAATAATTTGCATTTTTTTCTCCGTGCGTTTTGCTCCAAAGCTGCCAACAGTGATGCATGCAAATGCGTGCATGCGTCTGTTTGAAATGTGTGCGTGTGTGCATGTGAATGAACGCGCACGAGGACTTACAGGTTCGTACAAGCGTGTTACACAGGCATTCTCTTTGGCAATTTCGGTAAAGTCACGCAGGTGCGGGCTCGGTCGTTCGCGTGGAAATTCTCGTTCGTGTGCGAATGCCCGTTCGGTGCATTTGGCGCGCACGCTTAGTGTTCGCGTGCGTGCGTGAGGGCGCACACGGGCACGCGATGCGCTCACGCGCCTGGCGCTCGCTCGCGAAGACACGTGACCCCCCCTGCGCGCCCGGTACCTTCTGCAGGAAGATGACGAGGCGCGGGATCATGGCGGTGCGCGCCTCCTCCAGCATGAAGAGTGACCGCGGCGTGCGGATGAAGATCTTGGTGCGCCCGTAGGCCACGTCCTTCTGCATGCCGTGCTGCTCCACGATCTTCTCCGCCGCGTCGCGGTCCGACGGCAGCATGTGGTTGGGCCAGGTGAAGGCGCACGTCATCTTGTACCTCCGAATCAGAATCAGCGTGTTTGTTTATACTGGAGAAATCCGATGAGCTATAAAGCTCTTTCTCACGGAATGGCCAGTCGGGGCGGGTAAGAACGTTACAACAACAAACAATACAACAACACGATTGTACAAGAAAGCTATTAACTTATTTTTCAGAAGCAACCTGGCCACAATTGATAGCTCAACAGAGTGGCCTTATCAATTGATCCTTACGGCATCACCCCGGGGTACCAAGTAATACAAAATGGGCCGAGGCAATTAAATATTTTATTTCTGGTACACTATTTTTTTTCCAGGGGTGTTACTTAACTCCGCGACTGGGGTACCAATCAATCCGAAATCAGTGCTACTCCGCAATGTCGAAACGCAGCGAGGACGATTGCGCTGACATCCTGAACGCTCGTATGCACGGTAGTGCATCGTGTACAGCTCGTCGAGATGAGTCGATTGCCGCATCGCCGACCATCAACAGACTAAAGATGACTGCATCGCGGAGATTATGCGAGAGCCGGGGTACTATGGTACCCCGGGATACCATAGCCATAAGGTTCATTTGGACATTCATAGCAGGCCCAGCGCCCTGCCCTGACCCGCCCTGCCTCGTGGTAACTGTTCGCGCACCTAGCACGTGGCATTCGCTGCACTACCACAGCGCGGGGTCGCCTCACGTCCCGCCGACGGTCTGTCGTGTGGCGGTCGTTTCACGGTCGGAGCCGACGGTGCTCGGCGGCTTTGCGCCTCCGATTCGCACGGCTGGCATCATACATTTTCAAATTTGCCGATTCAAAGTTCAAAAGTTCAAAGTTCATTTATTAGGTATAGCCCTGTGAGCCATTCGGCTCTTGAATCGGGCGCAACCGCAACAAACAAAAAACAAAAACATGAACGAGAAAACATCTTAAAGTGACTGTGTGCAAACAGAAAATCCAAGAAAAGACAGCAAAATATTGCTGAAAAATCACCGTACACCAACCCTGTGCAAATATCCCAGTGGGATGCAAGTCAAACAACAACAACCACAAGACAACTTAGATTAAGGCCATCAGTCTAACTCTGTACTACAACAAACAAACATGGCCAAAGCAAAACACTTTTCGAAAATTTCAGGACCGTGACGCAGGAACACACGTGGCCTACTCTTTTAGAAAACGCGTCAGGGCTCCCCTACTCCTACTCCCCACTCACTCTATCCCCTTAATATCTTCCTCCCTCATCCTCCGTCTTCGCCACAAAAACATGGTGCGGACACCACACTGGCGGTCCCCACTGGGATGGGGCAGCGAGCCCAAACCACTCCCTCCTCTAAACCCAGGAGCACAGAGTTGGGGACTTTATGTCCACGGAGTTTCTGTACCCCTACACCCCCAACCCCTGCGTCCCGGTCCATGCTTTGTATCGGGCTCTTTTTGAAATACAATAACATGGGGAAAATATGTATTTATTTATACAAATGTCGGCGCAGGATCTGTAACCTCTACTGTAAAGCAGAAGCCGCATATGACCCGAAAGTATAATTTTCGAACCACGCATTTTATGTTTAATAACAATAAAACTAAAAACGTATACAGTTGGAGTCATTCTCTCAATATAAAGAACTGCTAAAAGACGGCCTCCCCATATCTGTGAATGTGACCGCTGACTCAGGGTCTCTCTTCGCCATCTCTCTTGCATCTCATAAATAATGATCATCATGATCTGCATTTATACAGATCATGATAAATATTCTGAGATGCTTGCAGGCTAATTTGTATTTTGAACTCTTCTTCCAAAAGTGCCTCTGTATAGGAATGTTCAGAGATGACTGGACGTCTGTGAAAAAGAGCTTCATAGCTCATCGGATTCCTCCACTCTAAATAAACATTCTGATTGTGAGATATTTCTAATCTTTATCTCGAGTCTACAGCTCTCTCATCTCACGATCTCTTTATGTCTCGGTGAGCCTCATCTCTCTCGGTGAGCCATATCTCTCTCAGTGAGCCATATCTCTCTCGGTGTAGCCAAATCTCTTGGTGAGCCTCATCTCTCTTGGTGAGCCTCATCTCTCTCGGTGAGCCATATCTCCCTCGGTGGAGCCAAATCTCTTGGTGAGCCAGCTGAAGAAGGTTTCCTCAATGAGCACACACTCTGAGCCGCGCTCAAGCGCCAGGTCCCACCTCTGCACGAAGCGTGGGTAGAGCTGCCGGTTGGCGAAGCCGGCGCGCCTCACCCTCACGTTCTCCAGCAGGCCCAGGTAGCCCACCTGTGCGCCACGACGATCACGAGCAGAGGGAGTGGAGGGCGTGGAGGGAGGGAGGGGAGTGGAGGGAGTGGAGGGAGGGGAGTGAGGGAGGGGAGTGAGGGAGTGGAGGGAGGGGAGTGGAGGGAGGGGAGTGAGGGAGTGGAGGGAGGGGAGTGGAGGGAGGGGAGTGAGGGAGTGGAGGGAGGGGAGTGAGGGAGTGGAGGGAGGGGAGTGGAGGGAGGGGAGTGAGGGAGTGGAGGGAGGGGAGTGGAGGGAGGGGAGTGAGGGAGTGGAGGGAGGGGAGTGGAGGGAGGGGAGTGAGGGAGGGGGGTGAGGGAGGGGAGGGAGGGAGTGGAGGGAGTGGAGGGATGGGGGTGAGGGAGGGGAGTGAGGGAGGGAGGGAGTGGAGGGAGGGGAGTGAGGGAGGGGAGGTGAGGGAGGGAGGGGAGTGGAGGGAGGGAGAAAGGGAGGGAGGGAGTGGAGGGAGGAAGGAAGGGAGGGAGGGGAGGGAGGGGAATGAGGGAGGGGAGGGAAGGGAGGGGTGCCCTTTATCCACAATTCCACGCTGCTGGGACTAGGGCCCTCTGCTGCATGGGTTAGCACAGGGTGACTGCGCGACTCGCCAGATGCCGGTGGTGACGCCTGTGTGCCCTACGACTCCTGTGCTGCCTTTCTATGTGGTGTGTGTACCTTCAGGGGTTTCTTCACACAGCTAAACAAACACACACATGCAATTTAACTGGTATTGGGCAAATATCACAATGCTGAAAGATTACCTGAATTACTCAAGTTGTAATTACACATATAGCAACATCAACCCCCAGCTGGGCAATACCTGGCAAGACCTCTACTAAATAATAGTTTAGAGACCCAGCGAGTCTCTCCTCGGTAAACATGCAAAATCATGAGTAATAATGAACAACGTTCGCGCAGTCGGATGCATCGCTGCTACCGGGGCCGACCTCACCTGGTGCTTGCACCGCTCCTGGTTGAACTGAACCGGGGACTTGATTTCATTGGGCTTCACGCAGCGCACGTAGTACGGCTCCTAAATGCACGCAGGGGAATTGGGCGAGAGGTAACAAAAAAAAAATCACAATTTTAATTGTCGGTGATGACGACGAACGCCCCCGATGCAATTTTTCTTTTGCGAATTCGTACCGACGTGGCCGTAACACCGTGACGTCAATTGGAAATGTAAATGAGAATCGTGGTGAAATGCTTCTGGAGGCCCGTGGACTAAATTGTAGGATTGGTGGGTGGATTGGGTAGTAGATGGATGAATGAGTGGGTGGATGGATGGTTGGGTGGAAAGATGGATGGATTGGTGGGTGGGTCGGTGGATAAATGAATTAAAAATATGGGTGGATGGATGGATGAACAAATGGACGGATGAAGATATGGGTGGATGAGTGGGTCAGTAGGCAAGTAGGTGGGTCAGTGGCTTGGTGGGTCAGTGTGTTGGTGTACGAGTGGATAGATGGGATGGTGGGTGGGAGGATTGATGATGGAAAACGTGAGCGAAAGGGAAGGAGTCAGGGAAGGAGGCATTGCGGGGTGACATAGGCAGCGAGGCAGCTGGGTGTGTGAGTAATGGGATGGATGAGGGAATGTTTGCCAGGGTTTAAACCTAATTATCTCCGATGATTGGTTTATCCAGCTCACGGACAATATTCGACAACTGCATTTCGGAGCTGTGCTTGGGGGCCCTAATGAGTTTATGGATTTCTCAAGTGAAGCGATCGTCAAAATCATTATGGAATTCCATCAGTGAAGCATTTTAAAACGAAAAGCACGATGCTTGACGCACACCGCTGTGGGCAAAATATATAAAATAAAATGAAACCCTTCATATCCTCTAGCACAGAAAGGGGCACACGCAAACGAGATCGTTCGGGGAAAGGTCGAAGAATCTTCATGAGCGATTCGCTAGTTAAGCAGCCCTCTCGTATTGCTCTGCCGCACGAGCAAGACAAACGTTTCAGCCGAGTGAGCTCCATTTCACGGCCCGCCACACGTCGGGCAAATGAACTCCCCCCCCCAACCTCCCCTCCCTGCCGCCATCAGTCCACCCCCAAGCGCCGTTAAATTATGCATCCTGATCGCGCCGCTGCCGCTCGAAGATCACGACGGCAGGCCACAGATGCCTGCATCCAGCTGGTTACGGGCGGCAGCACGGCAGCATGGCAGCGCGCACAGAACCCCGCGGCTGCCCCGGCGAGGCTGCCCGGCGCAGGCAATCCGGCGTGAATGTGTGCGCACACGCGAGCGCGGCTTGACGCTCGGCTGCTTTCATTTGGATGCCAAACAAAATCATTCTCCGCAAACGGGGTCATCGCGAACCTTTTAAATTACTCAACGGCAAAAATACGAACGAGTTTACCGGTTAAGCCATGCGGTTTATCAAGCCTCGCGACGAGCCGCCTATCATCATCATCATCATCGCTGGACGGTCAATAAAATAAGCAACACTTTGGTGAAACGCAGTTGGCATTGGTTGTAAGATGGGATTGCTTTACCCTGCCATGGGAATGTGGAATTTCAATCTCTGGAGATGAGTGCTGCCCCATTGCTCATTTAAAGAGGGAGACATTTTGACTCACAAACGTATGTTGAGACAAATGACCCTAAATCAATGAAATAAGCAAAACAGTCCTCCGTTGTCCGATACTTATAATTTACTGTTGGTGATTTCCTTCCCTTGCTGCATCGCCAAAGTGACACTGAACGCATTTGGTAGCTAAACAGAGAGTGGGGGAAAATCAGGGCTGCGTGTAATTTATCTTGGCTCATTTTATCGGAAAGTTAAATCCACTTAATATCGGGCCCTTATCCGGGTCATCAATGACGCGAGCGGTCACCAGCGAAAGCCCTCACTTGACCTCGCTTGGGCATTGCGATGGCAGGTAAGTGGACAATATTGCTCACGTGGGTAACATTCCTTATAGGTGCACACATTGCCATTACAATGTTACGTTCCTAGAAGAAAGTACTTGGTTGTGAAATTAAATATATTTTGAACGGAGGGATGAACAAAATCCTGTGTGCCTCATGCAGCGTCACTTATTCCACCACAATCCACGTAGGGCAACGGCCGATGGCTAAAGTAACATCTACACACAATAGTTAATTTATTTAACTTATTTATCTATCGAGGAGAGCCACATCGAGTAGTCAGGAGAGTTCAGCTACGTTGGGTTTTAATTTTAAGATGCGCTCAGCCAATTGACGACGACGAGTGTCTATTACACACACACATGCGGCGAAGAGGAAACCCGGAGCACCCGGAGAAAACCCATGCCACGCGCAAGGGGGCAACGCTCTATCCCCATTCAGATGGCGATTAACCAACTTGCTGCACTGCCTTCTGTAAGCAACGTGACTGAGGCGGCGGCGTGGGGGGGGGGGTGGCGAGGGAGACGCTGCGGTGAAATACGTCGACAGCGGCGTTTCATCGCACCGGAAGCTTTTTCAAATCAAAGTTTACGCACTGCGCACGCAGCCGCAACCCCCCCGCCTGCCCCCACCTCCGCCGTTCCTGCCAAACGCTTCGCTAAATAATAAATCTGAGCAGCGGATGTCTCTGTCCCCGCTGCCCCGCTAGCTCAGAACCGATGACCACAGCAACTTCCTGCTACATCCTCGGGGGTCAATTCGGCGTGTGTGTGATAAGCCACTTCGTCGAGATACATCCTTCGTGATAGCGAGGTCCCTTTCTGAAGCGAATAGCTCTTTTTCAGAATAACTGGAAATAAGAAAGAAAAAAATAGTTTAGTTTTATTTGCATATATTTTTAAGTGATTGTTTTAATCTTTCCTATACTCTGCACTCCTCTGGTGCGTTTTTTTTACTGTTTATTGTTGTCATGTTCTCACCTGCCCCTACTGGGCATCTGTGAAAAGAGCTGTACAGTTAATTGTATTCCTCCAGCATGAATAAAGATTCTGATTCCGGTTCTGAGTGGGAGCGACGTCAATTGACAAACATTACCAAACCACTCCAAATATACAACCACATCCCTTGGTATATGATACAGGCATGGACTCGATTCGTGGTGGCCGATGTGTTCACCACGACGTTCAAGAATTGATTATTGGTACACAAATTAGGACCTAAATTGCCTGCGGTGAAGGGTGGGAGGGGGCGTGGTGGTGATGCCAGAGTGAGAATGACAGTTTCAGGCGCTCGCCTTTCTTCAAGACTGGACACAGAGAGAGCGAGAGAGCACACACAGAAAACCGAGACTAATAGTAGAGTTATATTCTTGGTTCTTTCGGTAAAGTCACGTAGAAGGGAAATAATAAAATAATAAAAATAATAAACAATTAAATTATCACGACGTTTGTACTGCAAACGCAAGCAATCATCATCAAGTGTGAAATCCACAGCAAGAAAGGTTGAAAAAAGTGGCGTTTTTTTTTTTTATCCCTGCAGTCACGAAAGCTTTAAGTCAAAATAGTAGAATTGTTCTACTGCAGCCTATATTCACGACGATGACGATCTATTATATTTATCAGTCTGTCTGTACACTGGTACACAGCCAGGCTGGAGAATACAGTCGTGTCACAGGTGGCTTTAAATTCTAATTAAACAGCTGCTGCTGCTGCCGAACCCAAACAGAAGCAGAAGGCACAGCCTCGAGCATGAGAGGCATTGTATTTTTAAAACGCAATTTGTTTATATTTCCCCCCCCCCCTCCACCGTAGTTTATCCCGACCATGTCCTCGGCGTGACGCCGTGGGACGAAGAATGTACTATTCGGATCTCTCACAGAGCAGTGAACACTTTGCGTTAGAGAACGGCCCATGGAAGTGGACACCACAGAGCTACCTCCGAGGTCCCTACTGGAAATCTGTGAAAGAGAGCTTGAGAGCTCATCGGATTCCTCCAGCATGAATATTATGATTCTGACTCCACGTAGGAGATGGCAGTAATTTCCCCGCCCATAATGCCACTTACAGTGATGTCCCGTCACGTGACATTCGAATGGAAACTTTATATTTTCAGAAATGGAATTTAGCCAAATTAAGTGCAGAGTCATATTTAAATGTTGACGAGGTTTTTTTGGTTTCTTCTTGAGAAGTCATCGTTGACCGGGCCGTGACCATCAACTCCACTTGAGAACTCGGCTTAATCAAGAGCAGCTGCTCGGATTCGAACCCGGAATCTCAGTGAGTGGGCAGCTCAGCACCCTGACCTCCTCTGCCCTGTGACCTCCGAGGCCACCCGGCCGTCTCCGACGTTAAAGGGGGTTTTAAGAACCCACGTGGGGATAGATCCCCTGATTATAGATGGCACAGGCTGGGTGCACCGCAGGGCTCTGCGTAGGGGAATAAAGCCTTGAGTGTCAGAGACAGATCCTTCTGCTTCTGTTGCCTCTCAGCAGCAGGTTTATATATATATAGATGACGACCTTGACTTAAAGCTTTCGTGACTGCAAGAATTCATATTCTTGGTTCTTTCGGTAAATTCACGTAGGTAGAAAAATAAAATAAAACAAAAAATAACATATCACGATAGGTTCAAATAAAATAACAAAAATAACAAAAAACTACGACATTTCGATCGCAACCCTTGGGCTACATCCATTTCAAACCTTTAAAACAGCCTGCATCAGCAGTCCCGCTCTTTTTTATCCTGATGGCGATTGCTTGTGTTGCGATCGAAACGTCGTAGTTTTTTGTTATTTTATTTGAACCTATCTACGTGACTTTACCGAAAGACCCAAGAATATATAGATGAAGAGTGAGGATCTTTTGATGCCATCTGAAGCCACTAGGTTTGCACTAAAAAGGTAAACGTACAGCCCTGCAATTACTTGCTCACTCCACCGCTCGTAGCAGGGGCAGCCTATAATGTATCTGTATAATGTCAGTATAATGTCATTCTATAAATGGCCCAGCCTGGTTATGGGCTCCACCAACCTTAAACTGACCTGCGACACACTCGCAATGGAGTGCCTTGCCTCTCTCGACCGCCCCGGGAATCGGTTTGTGATGGGTTCATGCCCTCGGTAGCGATGGGCACTGGGTTCCCTGGAACTGCCCT